ACTTTTAAATCAACCAGGAAGAATTAGAAAAAGGCCTTCTTATTTGGATGATTACGAGTGCTATTTATCTAAAGCAAATGACACGGAAACATTAGCTTTATTTGCAAGTGAGCCTTCTAGCTATAAAGAAGCATCAAATGACGATGTTTGGATAAAAGCAATGGATGAAGAAATTGCTATGATTGAGAAAAACAAGACATGGGAGCTTGTTGATTACCCTGAAGGTAAAGATATTATTGGTCTAAAATGGGTTTATAAAACAAAACTAGACCAAGACGGAAATTTTCAAAAACACAAAGCAAGGCTTGTTGTCAAAGGATATGCTCAAAAATCCGGAGTTGATTTCAATGAAACATTTGCTCTAGTAGCTCGTATTGAAACCATTAGGACAGTGTTAGCCATAGCTGCACAGAAAGAATTATATGTTTATCAGCTTGATGTGAAATCCGCATTTCTGAATGGTGTATTAGAAGAAGAAGTGTATGTGGAGCAACCACAAGGTTATGAAATTCAAGGGCAAGAAGATAAAGTTTATCGTTTGCATAAAGCGCTCTATGGGCTTAAGCAAGCGCAAGAGCTTGGAATAGTAGAATTGACAAATATTTTATGAATAACGGATTCAAAAAGAGTCCAAGTGAACCATCACTTTACATTAAAGAAAACAATGATGGGCATTTTCTCATTGTTTGTCTTTATGTTGATGATCTAATCTACACTGAAAATGATATGAAACTCATTAATGAGTTCAAAGAGTCTATGATCCAAGAATTTGAAATGACAGACTTAGAACTCATGAAATACTTTCTTGGAATTCAAGTTACGCAAACCAAGGGAGAAATTTTCTTTAATCAAGAAAAATATACTGTGGATCTCCTAAAGAAATTTCATATGGAAAATTGCAAACCAGTGAATACTCCTATGGCATTGAATGAAAAATTAAGTCAAGATGATGGAGCTAGTAAGGTCGATGGTAATGTGTACAGAAGTTTGGAGGTTCTTTACTATACTTAACTCATACAAGATCTGACATAGCTCAAGCAGTGAATATGGTATCAAGATTTATGAATAATCCTAGCAAATTACATTTTGCTGCCGCAAAAAGGATATTACGATATCTTCCAGGTACTAAGAAAGTAGGTCTAAGATACCAGAGTGAAGTTGATAAAGAATTGATTGGTTATACTGACAGTGATTGGGCTAGTTCCATTGATGATCGTAAGAGTACATCAGCCTACATTTTCTGTTTAGGCACTAAGATAATATCATGGAATTCAAAGAAACAACAAACAGTAGCACTTTCTTCTGCAGAAGCAGAATACATGTCTGCTACTGAAGCAGCATGTGAAGCAGTTTGGGTACGAAGAATTTTAAAAGACTTGGGTCTTCAGCAAGAAAGCCCTACGATGATATTTTGTGACAATATGTCTGCTATCGCTATGACAAAGAATCCAGTGTTTCATGCTAGAAGTAAACACATTGAGATTCGACATCATTTTATACGTGAATTAGTCAATGAAGAAGAAATACAGCTCGAGTTCATCAACACTAATGATCAGCCAGCAGATCTGCTTACCAAAGCTATAACAACAGAAAAGTTCGAGAAATTTAAAACATTATTAAACATTGCAAATTAAGAGGGGGAATTTGTGAGATAAAAGTTAATTGTGCAATGTATAAACTATATTAAGATAAGTAAAATTAAGAAAAACTAATAATAAAATAGTAAAACCTAAATAAAATGTAAAGCATATAATGCTCCTAAATTTTCTATCACTATTTATTTAGGATGAGTTTTTCCTATATAAACTGTAATTGATATCATTTTCAATATAAGAGAATATAATAAAAGAAAACATATTCTTCGGTATTATTTCATTTTCAAGAATAAATATAAGTAGGTGCGGCAGCTCTACTCGTTTCTCATATAGTTTATAAATATTACTTATTAATCTGATCCAATCACCCATTATACTTCCGTTGTCTCCAACAAATAGCACTCCATATGCCTCATTGCGTATATGGCACAATCAACCTTGTTTGTGCTTGTCTGCCATGCCATAGTTAACAAAGACACAGAGAAGTTTCGAACCTTCTCATGACCCTTCACTCCTTTAGTCCCAAGATAAGTTGCATACGCGTTCAACTATTTTTCCAAACATTGAAAAAGAACATTCTATAATTAACAAAAGAACATTACTTAATTAAAAACAAAAGAACATCACACAATCAAGAAAAGAACATTACATTAATATGACAAAAAAATAAATTATACTCAAAACCATTGTTCTTTGAATTTGTCCCTTTCCTTGTTCTTTTCTCCTTCAATAATGAAACTATTGTACGGTTTTCATCATCATTCTCATCACTTTCATTTGGTTTTTCTCTGCAAAACCATAATAAAAAAAAAAACAAATCAAAAAAATAAAACAAAAAATCGATTTGAACTCAAAAATCAAACCAAGCACAAAAAGAAAAAAAAAACAGAAACTTGCAAAAACTACTTACAATCGAACAATTTCGTCAACCATACTTGAATAATTTCGCACCAACAAGTTCGAAATTCACCAAATTAATCTTAGGGTTTCAAGAATTTGAATCGGTTTGGTAGAGAAAACTTATAGAGAGAGAAATATTCTAGAGAAATAAAATTTTAGAGAGATAGAGTATAGTATGAAATGGTAAAAAAAATTTACTATGTTTATCTTTTTTTATCTTTTTTCTTTTTTACAAAACTTAAGGTTAAAACAACTTATGTTCATTAAAATTGAACAAAATGTTTTTTTCTACTACCATGTACCTTATTACACAACGTAATGTACATTCTGCGTTTTTTAGAAATTGAAGGCCTGCGTTTTGTTAACAAAGCAATGTCGTTTTGCCGCAGATGCACAATGCGGATCGTGCATCCGCCTGCACCAACCACCAATTATCTGTTTCATAATAGACGTAACGTTTCACTTTATATATCAATTTATATGTTATTGTTGAATTAGTCTCAATATATATTTTCAAAAATTAATTTTTAAACTTTTTAAAAAAAAAAAAAAAAGAATAAGTGCAGTAAAAATTTGATATTAAATATACTTTTGGAAATTGTATAAAATTTGGAATTCATGACATTAACACGCGTAAATCGGTGTTACTAGTGTTTATATTTTGATGATTTCTTAACTTTTTACGATTTTCAAGTGTAAATTTAATGCTTATATGTAGCCCTAAGGGCTATGTATAACATTTTCCTTAAAAGTACTGTGTTAATAAGTAAATATATTGCATTTATTGTGGAATGAAAGTAACAAAAAAAAAAAAAAGAAAAAAGAAAGTAACAAACTATAAATATATTCACGCTATTTTAGAAGTCAATCCTTTGTTTTTTTTTCCTGAAAGATTTTAGAAGTCAATCTTCACACTAAATTAGTACTCGTATAAGTCAATCTTCACCAAAAAAATCTTCACCTAAAAAATCTAAAACTTGCGTTAATTTATTTACATCTATTTTCTTCTGTTTTTTTTTTTTTTTTGAAAGAAACATGCATAGAGCATCATATATTAAGAGAAAAGGTCCATATTGGACAATGTTACAATACCCTGTGGGAAATTGCTGGTCTATTTTCTTCTGTTTATTACTTCGTAAGTGTTTATTTTATTATCATACCTCTTTTTAATGGTTTACTATCACTTGCTATACCGAGTATGATTCAAGTTAAAAAGTTAATGTTCACAAGAATCACAACTAGGTATTACTATTTTTTTTTACATAGTCTATCTTTGCTAATATTGGTTTTTTAATTTTTTTTTTCTAGCTTATAATTACGTTACAAGAAAACCAAAAAATATGGAGTACCATATCTCAACCCTCACAGTTTTATGATCCAGTATCTTCGGTTTAGATACAGAGTGTGCTGCTTTTTTTAGGTTGATGTAATAGAGTGTACAACTTTGTATTTGTTAATTAGCTAGAAGCCTAGAATTGGTTTTGGTTAAAATAATAAGGAAAAATTGATGTAATACCCATTCGCTCAAAATATTCCCAACTATGCATTATTTATTTGTTTTTAATAATCCGAACTCTGAGGAGTATTTGCTCAAAAAGGTCTCAACCGATCACTCAACCTATTATAACAGGTAATTAAGACACATGTAATCACATGATTCGTTTAAAAAAAAAAAAATATAAAAGTACAAATAAAATAAAATAAGCTAAGCACCACCCACGACCCCGCTCCCCAACCCCAGCCACAACCCCCTTCGAAAGCCCCATCCCTGCCGCCGACCTGACACCCTCCTCACGTTGGCACCGATCTGGACTTCAGGGAACGGTGGTTGTCGGGACAGTGGTGGTGGAGTTGCGTGGGTGTTGGGTACTTGGGTGTGGGATTAAATTTTTAGTTTTTATTAAATAAATTGTTTTTTAGTCTTTCACGTGCTGACACGTGTCACTTGAAAAAAAAAACCTCTTTGATAAGTTATCGGTCACTTGAGACCGATAAAAGTGCATGTCCCTTAAAGTTCAGATTATTTAAAAATAATCCATAGTTGGGATTATTTTGAGCGGTTGGGTGAAAGTTGAGATTATTTTTATCAATAATCTAATTTGTCAAACTAAGTGAATTTTTTTTTTTTGTCTTCCATTCTTTTTATTTTTTTGGATTCATTGTTATCTTCTCTCTTTAACACACAATTTATTTTGATCGTTGTACTAATAATTTATTTATTTTTTATTTTTTCCCTTTTTTTACACACACTACTATTTTTTTCAACTCTTTGCATTTGTTCATAGAACAATGAAAGACCAACTATTTATATCCTTAATTTATTTTGTCTATCTATGGTCGATAAATTGAACCCCGTCAAATGTATCACATGAAAATTAGATTTGAGAACTACGGCTTAAAAAAAATGTACAAAATTTCATTTATCATTATGACACTATCAAGCAAGTAAGAAGGAATAAAATAGTAAGATTGCTTAAAAGTTAAAACCATAGAAATTCCAATATAAATCACAAATAGGTAAATAAACTAAAAATAGGAAATGGTTCGAGGAGCTAACAAGTTAAATACGAACTGTTTAATACAAAGTACTCTGTAGACTGTATATATACTCGCCTTTACTAAATGTGGATTCAAAACACTGATTTAAGGTAAGAAATGTGGTGTATGCTAACTAGTATATATGCTTCGAAATCCCATAGCAAGGGGGCTATAAGGGATGCACAGTTGTATCTGAGTACAACGGTTTTTTACAAGATATATTGATCACAGTACCTATTTTGTGGAGGAAGAGGGAGTTTAGAAAATCCAAATTAAATTTAAACAACTTAAAGTGGAAAGGAGGCAAAATTAACATGTACATTTCTGTTTACTGAAACAATGGTAATATACCCCATTGATGCAGAAAGCCTTGCCCTGTAGTAACCTCGAGCACTAAGAGAACCAGCACGGCTAACATAGCAGCTCTTCCATTCCAAGTTTCAGCACTCTTAGTCCAACCCCATTCCCAAACTGTCACTGGAGGCGGTAGCTCTCTGCGTTGTGAGTCGTAAGCTGCCAAAAGCTCTTCTACACTGCCGAGTGGAACGAGAGACTGCATAATACCAATCCTTTGTTTTAGATAATCTATAGAAGTAATAGAACTAACTCATGCTTGAAGCTAATAGTCTACTACCACTTATATACTTACAGTCTCCTGACATCAAAAGACAAGAGAAAACCAGAGCAGGAAAGTGTGCAGATCCTTTAATTGGAGTGAGCATTAAGGGAGAATATCAAAAACAAGATATCCATTTACCTCAACTTCAACATGCCACTTTGCCAGTTTAAGCATGATGGATAGAGATGGCAAAGGACCATTTAATTTAGGTCATATATGGGTGTGGTGAGTCAATCTGTTCAAATTCGGGTTAGATCAGGTATGGTCAAATTTTAGGCAGGGTCTATTGGCAATTTGCTCATCATAAACAATCAATCGATTTGTAATCATTAACATTTCCAGTCTGGGTCAATTTAAGAAGGATTAGTTTCGGTTTGGATGTGATTGCAAGAACAGTAACTTTTTTGAAATTTATTGTTTTACTGGCAACATATTTTGCAGCATGCAAACTAGATCCTTGTATGTTCTTGTCTGCTAAAAATGAAAATTAATTTTCTCTTTCCCAATTGTATGTCTAGTATGTTACTTGGTTCTAAGTCTGACCAGGTCTTGTTTGATCAGTTTTGCAAGCTGTTTTGAAACCAGCACAAAGTTTAAAGTCTTCTATACTGGATGTAATATCTACTGATAGCACCGACCCCAAAATAAGAACATAATAAATGCAATATTACAAGATATCCTCTAAGAAAAAGCTAAACAGATAAACAGGTGACAGGTCTACATATTAAAAAACTTATATTCATACCTGTCGTGCTTCAAGATTTGACACTGCCATTGCCCCAACATAGGGAAGGCTTTCGATCACAGCATCAGCCAGATCTGAAATAAATGTTGGTTCACATCCTAGGGCAGGAACACGTCCCCAGTTTTCTATACCTGATTCTAGAGCTAATTCCTTGTACTCCACATCAATTTCTTCCAAAGTTTCAATATGCTCACTAACAAAACTGATGAAAATCTTTACGCAATTAGTATTTATAACTGTTGATTGTCCCCAAACAAAAACATTCATGGATGAATTGATTTTTATAGAAATGGAAGTACCTGATTGGGACGGCAAGAAGACTTTTCACACCTTTCTTTCCAAGGTCAATAATAGTATCATCTGTATAGGGCTTCAACCATTCTACAGGTCCAACCCTACTCTGTACAAAGATTCCAAAGTAATCCACACCATCAACAGCTATAATGGGCATTTGAAATTTTAAGTAAAAAAAATTGGTAAGCACAATGTGCAATAACAATTTTCTCTATACTTGCCCACCCAAAACCCCAATAAACACATGCCACAAGCATAATTAATATATTGTACAAAGCATACAAACATAGAAAGGAAATTTACAAATGTAAAAGAACCACAGATCATTTAAATTCAATACCTGGTAAGCAAGAGTGAAGGAATTGTAAATCCTTCTCTTTTCTAATTCTTCCATTATCAAGTAAACACATTCTTCCATCTCAGCCTTGTATGGGTCACCAGCTTCTTCAACATAAGCTAATGGCACACCATGAGCACTAAAGAATATCACAACCTGTCACATACAATCAGTTATATACAGTAGCAAGAAAGTAATTTGAAGCTTGGACTGAACACAAATTTGATCACAGAATCCTGGGATCCCTGTTTCAGATACTTGCAACACTCCTAAAATAGAAATGTCTCAATAATCAATACTTGCAACACAGCCCAAAATGGATATTTTTTATACATACAATTACAACTCTGCCCATACTTACCAACCTAAAATTATAAGACTACGCCGCTTCCCCCTCCTTTTTATTCAATTTAATAATTAGCTCATCCACATTCAGGAACTTTCCCTCTCATTCTCCTCAGTTTCTTCCCTTGCCCCTTCCCAACACCAGGTCCATAAACCAGTAAACCACCCACCACCATTCCCAACTCAATCCACCACCAACCTCACTGATGCAGTAACAGATGCAAGAAAGAGTGCAGAACAACAAGAGCATGTAGATTAATGCGGTTCACTAACAAAGTTTTAACTACATCCATGAGCATGCCACAAAATTTAATTGAGGATATTACATAAATACATATTACAGAATATACTAAATTAAAATATAGAGTATATATAGTACTCCCGAAACAAGAACCACCATCCACCTTCACAAACTAACCAGCACCATCGCTATTAATTACCATCATCGAAACAATCACCGCCTTCACATAATCCACCACCAGTCCACCACCATCACAACTATCATCAAAACCACCACCATCACCACTACCATCAAAACCACCACCACCACCACCACCACAAACTATAAAACCCTACCAATCAGGCTATCACCATCACCAGTCCTCCATATTTACAACCCCTATACCGGAACCACCCTCTCCAAAAAATATCACTATTCTCATTGTCATCACTCATCATCACCCCACCCTCAGCACAATTACCAATCTACCTGACACTCTGACAGTATCACCAACCATTTCTTTCCAATATTTCCTGGCGTATCTTCTTTCCATTGACAAAAAGGATGGCGGTGGTGATAATAGCAAGGGGTAGGGTGATGGAAGCTGTGGTGATTGTGAGGGGGGTTGGGAATTAAGGGAGGAGGGTGGGTTGGTGGTTTTGTAGTGGCCAAGTGTGCCATGTGCCCCTCTTATACAAATTGGTTTATATACTCTGGCACGCCCCCTCACATGAGAACCATGGACCTTGCCATGAGGGGTGGATGAGATTAGAATGTGTGATTTTTATCTCACAGCTCTAATACCATGTTAGAGGACCAACTCAACCGAATATTAAGCTTATGTTTGAAACTCAGAATTAGTTTACATACTCTAGGTCACCAACTAGAATTTCTCTTTTAGTTACAAAACAAATGTTTTATATAGGCCGAGCTTGTCCTATTCAGAAGAGTAATCAATTGAAAATTCAATACCAAGCAGAATTGAATTTTAGGTCAGCACATAAAGGCCTAAGGCATTAAATAGCTAAAAATAACTCACCTCTTTTGGATTATTGAACTTCTTTAGTTCTTTTTCAATCAAATTACCCATGGCCTTAATATATCCATCTCGCTGATACCAGGAAGGAATGACTGTGTGCTGCATGTTGACAAGGTAATCATCCTCCCTGCAATAAAGAGTTTATGAATCAAAACTTATTCTAACTTAAAGTATTAAACTAATCCCACAAACAGAAATTTGTTTTGCAAATATAAATATATAAATGAAATACAAAAAAGTACGTACCGGAATATACTTTCCAGAAGTCTCAAGCTTGAACCACTGGTCGATATTGAGAATTGTGGGTAAAGAGGAAGCACAACAAGCTTTGTAATGCCATCTCGTTTTATCTATGCAAACAAAGAAAGAAAGCATAAGAGCAGGATTCATTTACTTGCCCTGAATTGAACACAATAATTTGAAAGAATCAATCATAACATTCAAGAATCCTCTCAGTCAGGTATGCTCATTGTGTCCTTTAATACACAATGTCATTGCAACTAAGCCAAAAATTTGACAGTCAAATAAACTGACAACAACATCAAGATATGGGCCTTTTGAAAACATCATCTATAGCAGATCCATGGCTTTCAAAAACATCATCTATGAAAATTCCATGGCTTTGGAAAACATCATCTACAGATCATGGCTTTTGAAAACATCATCTACAGAAGATCCATGCTTTTGAAAACAACACTTCAGAAGATCCATGTCAGTCCTCCTATGAATTTTTCTTTGGATCTCCTAGAGATAGACATAGGATCACAATACTGTTGAATTTACTATCTTCCCAAAGATTTAAACTCCTAAACAACGTTACCAATTCGCCCCCCTTTCCTCAAAACACCCAAAAAATACCGTGAACCAAAACAGGTGTATTACACTGGCGAATTGATAGTTTTGGCGCAATGTAACAAATTCAGTACTGAATCTCATATTAGAGAATTAGAAAACATTGCTCCTAAACACCATCTTATATTAATTTGAGAGACAAACTGTACATAACATTACTTAAGATCAAAGTGACTACTTTCATATGCTCAAATAGGCAACCTCATCATTCTTTCAAAACAACGGACTTTCTAATTTCTATGTAAGGTTGCTAGACTAGAAAGAGAGCTTATTAGCATTTGTGTACTTACTATCTACAGGATAAGGAAACTCCAGAATGCACCTACCTTAAAATTTATTGGAATCTTACCAATGATAATAACAAAGCTGTGACTGTTTTCTACTGTGTTACAGACTTACAGTATTACTTTATGTCCTTAGCTATTACACTTGTATCTATACCTTGGCAAGAATGATGTCTAGCAACATGTCATATAGTAACTATGCACCAACAAGGAAAAACTAAAATAAATGTACTTAATCAGTCAATTAGTCTAATTGCAAAATTTGCAACTCAAGCCATACCTCCTCAATTGCCTCTTCAGTAAATGGATGCCAATAACGCATACCAACATACACAGTTGCAGGAACATTTTTTGCATAAAGAGCCTTCTGTAACTCTTCAGCCTGGAAGAAGGTAAATAACATATTACAGTTCCATGTAATCCCAACTTGTTTGCGTCAGACAAAAAAGGGCTGGAAAAAACAAAACATTGCTGCCACTAAAATTTGATTCTATGAAGCAAAAAGGAAATATCATTTATAACAATGAGACAGTAACTTGCCTGTGCATCTGTGATCTTCCGAAGTGGAGAACCACCACCAATTGCAGCATAACCTTCTTTGCTTTTTGGAGCCCTTGAAACAGAAATAAATTGAGCAAGAGGCTTCTGAAGAAATCGGAACAGTCTAGGCAGTCTAATGATGTCCTGTTCAATGCCTTTGGTCAGGAAACTAACAGAACTAGAAATATTTGAAATAAATTGTCATAATAAAATGACAGAAAAATTTATCAAAAAAATTAAATTTAAGCCAATACGCATACTAAAAGGGAACAAAAAACTTGTGAAGTTAATGTCATGCAAGCCATATGCAATAATTTTCCAATACAGCCTTGCATATGCTGACTTGCTGACCTTCCTGTAACTGACACACTTCCCCCTTGATTTTTCAATTTAGCCCAATTCCAAAATTCATCCTATATGTATGACCAGCAACTAGAAATATATATGCATTAGCTTAGTGATGGTGAGCAACAAACAGCTAGCCATAAACCTAGCATTTAAAAATGAATCCACCAAGAAGGGTTTGGTAATGTTGGACCATTGAACCAAATAAATGATTGCTTGAAATAAGATTTTTCAGATCCAGGCTGGGAACCTATAAATACTGAATTATACGATTTTCTAAAGTTTTAGCTGATACCTTAATGAAGTCTATAGCTAAAATCAGTACGTTAACATCATTACGTTTGTTATTTCCTTTGCATACATATTCCAGCATAACTCCTTGTCCTTCATAAGGCAGGGCAGACGACACGCGATTTAAGTCAACTTAAGTAGTCATCTTCTTTGGTCTTACGTTCTCCAATATAGTTAATTTACATTCATAAATTGGTCTTCTAGAATTATAGCAACTGATGTATCTTTATAGTGTAGGATAGACAGACAAGTGGCTCAATTCGTGCCCATCAAATCAACAGTTGTACAACAAATGTGATGTACAAAATGCTACTGACAAAGAATCAATCAGAGCCTCAAAGCCTCAGAGATATGAACTCTTTCAGCAAATGACATCATTAGAGTGAAATACATCACAAAAGTTTTAGCTAGAACTGTATGAAGTATGAACTCAATCAACAGTAGCAAAAACCAGAAACATCCATGTAATCGCAAATCATACTGAAAAAGAGAGTTACATACCGGATCTGCAAAAAGGTTATACAAGAAAGGTTGCACATCGTCCAAAGTCTCTGGGCCTCCAAGATTTAGCAACAATACTCCTATTTTCTCCTCACCCACAGAAGGTGTCGTAGACACACCGGGAGTTTCAGAGGTCAGTAATGCTCCAACTGGAAGTGAATGTATTTTGAATGATTGACATGTTGTAGATTCTTCTTTGGACAAACCAAAGAAACATTTTCCTATTACCAAGTGCTTTGATGTATTGGCATGAGCATTGTTGTCCATTGACACTCCTGCACAACGATATATCTTTTGAGTACCCATCTCCTGTGGCAATAACCTAGCAGAGAAAACATAAATCAGCTATTATTATGTAACAATGTCATCCTTGTTAGTCAAAGTAGTGCTGCATGGCAGATGATGACTACTAACGAATGCAACATAAATGGCATTATTTCATGATACAAGAGGAACTAAAAACCTACATTACATACTTAAAGAATCAAGACAAAAACAGTGCTGAATAATGACATATTCTAATGCAGGATACTAATCCTCTTGCAGAAAACCAAATTTAGGCTGTTTTCACACGTATCAAAACCTAGGAAAGATTTTGTGTTTACAACACTACACTGTGACTCAAGGTAACCAAATCTACTTGATTTAACAAGTGGGCGTTATTTACTCTCAACTACAAGTGGGCATAGATGTGTGTCTAAGACCTAGGTTTGGAAGATACTAAGACATTTTTTCATGCTTATGGCCCAATTTGAGAATCAAATACGATAGAGTTTGGAGTAATTGGTACATACTTCATATACTTGAGCAATAATGAAGAATCTGGTAACATTTTTTGCAGCATGCATACTAGATCCGAGATTTTTGCCTTCATCATACGAACTAAATCATTCTTACATGGATGAAAATTCAGCATAATTATAAACTACTCCGTATTTTGTTTAAATGACATTAAATATTATAGATTTAGATCCATTTGGTCAGTACAACATTTATATATCTTCCATATATCTCCCACAAGCACTTGAATCACTTGTAATATTTAAAAGCCTTTTCCTTTCTAATGAACTCCACTAAAACAGTATCTTTCACTAGGGACAGTGAAGTAAGTTACATATATGATCGAATCTCGTCTACATCATTGCCCTATTATTCCCTATAGGATTCTCTTTCCTTCTAACACATGAATGCTAATCCTAAATGAGGTGCAAAATCTTGCAACAAGCTAATCACACCAAATTCAAACATATTAATACAACTAAATTCCATTACCAAATATTTAAAAAATTCCACAAAATTAAGCAACCAAAATTCAAAGTTTATTCAATACAGATAATAATTTAGTAACACATGCAAAATAAAACCATAAACGATAAATCAAATTCCAAAAATAAAATACCGGCAACAACATGAAAGAACGGATGTACGGTTCTTAGACAAATGCATCACATCATCACCATTAGAAACCCTCAACCCTACAAAATCAGCACAAAAAACCCACAAAAATTACAGAAAAAATCAACCCAAAAATAACAAAATTAAGCAAAATTATGACAAAAAAAACAAGAAATTACCAGTAAATCGAGCAGATTGTAGAGTAGAAATAGCACTACCAATTGCCATTTTCAGAGCTCAAAAAAAATAGGGAAAAGGGGTCAAAATTCAGCGCCGCATTTAGAGAGAGAAAGTAAAAGTGAGAGAGTGAGAGTTACAGAACAGAGAAGAGAAGAGCAGCAGATTACAGGTCTGCTCAAAATGAGTATAGCCCACACTTCAACAGTGGCATTATCCGTCATACCTGAATATTTATTTATTAATAATTATAAAATATGGTGGAAATTTCTGCAAGAATATGGTTCATACGTGTGACATGGATGATGGCCACGTCATCATCTTTGAAAAGACTTGGGATTTTTTTTAATGGGTGTTGTTTTATAATTTTTGTTTAATCCCATCAAGAGTCAAAGATATTCTTGTTTTTAAAGAATACAAAGTCAAAAGATATTCCCAAATGAGATGGGTGACAATCAGGTTGTATGTTACGGGTTTGGATTCAAGTCGGTGACTTGTGAACTTATTGTCTATTACTCCATATTATTGTTGGCACAGAAATTTTAAACAATGATGCGCATGGTGCATCCGTTTCTAGAAGAAAAAAAACAAAAAGAACATATTTCTCTGAAATTTATTATGTGTCGCTACTTATTGTTTGTGTCAAAATAAACATATTTTTGTTTAGTTTACCTAAGAATGAGTAACGAGAATCAATTCCATGAAATGTTATGAAAGCTTTAACCACTAGACTTATACCTAACTCTCATAATCAAATATTGACTCTTTTGCAAAAAAAAAAAAAAAAAAAAAAAATAAATAAATAAATACTTCCTCCGTTTTTAATACTTGTTCCACTTTCCTTTATCGGCCGTTTTTAAATACTTGCTTCATTTCCTTATTTGGAATGTTTTTACAATATTTAATTATTTTCTCTCACCTAATGGACCCAGGATAAACCATATTTTAATAATTTTATCAATTTCATATTCTCTCTCCTTTAATTTTCTCAACTACTTTTGCTTTTTACAATTTTTTATTCTTCACCTACCAAACTACCTCCATATATTTAGGGGTCGTTTGGTTCGCACGAGGGAATCAGAATGGAATGAACAAAGGGAAAGACAAGGAATTGAATGAAAATACTAGAGCTGATCAAAACAAGCCCGACCCGATTTTGGGCGGGTTTTGGGCAGCATTTTCCAGCCCGGCCCGAATTTTTTATTTTTTTGGGCTGGATTGGGAATGCTTTTTAAAGCTATTTTAGGTCTTTTTTTGGCTCGCCCCGAAAAGCCCGCACGGCCCGTCCAATTTGGGCGGGTTTGGGCATGAAAATTTTGGCCCAAAGCTAGGCCCGACCCGAGAAATGGGCTGAATTTTTATGCCTCGGTCCGGCCCGGCCCGCCCATTGATCAGGTCTAGAAAATTCCCCAATTTTGGGGTGTTGTTTGTTTTGAATAACAAAGGAATGGAATGAATGGAAGGCCACCAGTCCAACCACCACCTCTCGCCTTCACTTTCAACCATTTTTAGCCACCACCCAGCCACTCCACCCACTCGTCGCACCTCCTCCACAACTCCCCCCCCCTTCGCCGCGCCACCACCACCCCTCGCTGCGCTGCCCCGAAAAAACCACCCATAGCCTCGAAAAACCCTAACCCCGATCTCCCTTGACCCCGAAATCCAGCGCCCAGCCCTCCCACCACCCTGGCACCCTCGAAAAAGGGTGGTGGGAGGGCTGGGCACCGGATTTCGGGGTCAAGGGAGATCGGGGTTAGGGTTTTTCGGGGCTATGGGTGGTTTTTTCGGGGGAGGGGAGGGCGGCGAGGGTCGGAGGAGGGGCGGCGGTGGTCTAGGCTGGTTTTCCGGTGGTGATGTGGTGGTGTGAAGGTGGTGATGTGGTGATGTGAAGGTGGGTAAGGAATGGAATGGAAATACCTAGGGGGTTGGGAATGAAGTTAGAAGGATTTGGGGGAATGAAAGGGGTAAAGAGAATGGAAAAAATGGGCTAACAAACAACAACAAAGGGAATGAGGGCAGTTGATTCTGATTCCCTTTGATGATTAACCCCAACCAAACGGCCTCTTATTATTTCTCCTAAAATTCCGCGCATAGAGAAATAGAGTAAGTATTTAAAATCGGAAGAAGAATTTTTTTTTTTTTTTTTTTTTTTGTAACGTAAATAAAATGAAATAAAACAAAATCCAACAAATATTGACTCTTATATCTTGATTGAACAATTAATTTGGGTTATTTTGGCCCATTATATATAATAATAATAATAATAATAATAATAATAATAATAATAATAATAATAATAATAATAAAACCCAACAAAATGGGTTTTATTATTCATTCAAATGAATTATCGGTAAAATGAGATTAAAAGCACATTTGGGTTAATGAAAAGAGAGTTGTCATTAGGCCCATTTAGGTGGCCATCTTAAAACCTTAGCCTTGAAGAATTTTATAAATAACAACAATATATCAAAACATTCTAAATTATCATAACATTCTAAATTATCATAACATTCATATTTGGGAAATTTTCTTTGGTAAACCTCTAATAACAAACATTCTCAGTGGTAAAATGCAAAAAAAGTTAATATCCTTGGTAAACTATGTTTTAAAAAGTTAAGTCAATGGTAACCTTAATCAATGTAATTAGGCATTTCTTAACCATGGTTAACCATTCTAAGTAAAAAAAAGTTATGATGCCTAAAATACCCCCATTCTAAAATTAATTACAAAAATAAAAAAATAAAAATCACCACCCTGCCACGACCACCTTCCCCACCATCCTGCCACCATTTCCTCTCCCCCTCCTCTGGTCGCAGCTCCCCTCCCCCAGCCCCTATTCCCTAACTTTCCCATTCCCGCCGGCAACCTTTATCCCCTACCCTGACACCTCAAGTACCCAACCCCGACACTCAACCTCGATTACCCAACCCCCACCCCGACACCCCAAGTACCCAACCCCTTCGACCACCCTTCCCCATCTTCTCTCCTTTCTCGCACCTCACCACCATTGAAAACGATGAAAAAAATCGAACTAATTAAATTTTTGAATTTCTGGTAATCGAAACCCTAATTCCTCACAATTGAATAAGAAATTATGTGAATTACAGGTAATTGAAATTAATTTGATGTTTGTTGAAGCAAAAGGTGTCGCCAGTGGAGATTTAGGGTTTCGGGAAAGGGTGTGGGTGGGGGCTGGTGGTGTCGAGGGTAGGGGAAAGGGGAGGGGGATGAAGTCGGCGGTAGGGGAGGAGTCTGTGCGCCGGTTGGTTAGGGGGAAAGGGACGCCGGCGGTTTTCAGGCGGTGGGGGAGGGGGGCTGCGTGCAGGGGAGGGATAGAGGTGGTGGTGGCGGGGTGGTGGGGAGGTGGTTCTTAACCATGGTTAACCATAGTTATGCTTAAAATGCTAATTATCTTGCTAAATGTTACCATTGACTTAACTTTTTAAAACATAGTTTACCAAGGATATTAACTTTTTAAAACATAGTTTACCAAGGATATTAACTTATTTTATCAAAATTTTATGATAGAGCGATAATTAAACAAAATTAATATATCAGTTATAACTTATAATGATGTTATAAAACGCGAATATCATTATTTCTAGCAAATCATTAAAAACATCCAAACTTTAGGATTTGTAAACATAACAAAGCAAACAAAACGAAGCCATTTAACCAATATGACCATCAGTCTTACAACGATTCCAAACTTCATTATTTTTTTTCCATATCAAGGATTTCAATTTCTCATCAACTTCTTTTGATTTGACGGTTGCATCCGTCAATAGGTCATGGCATTGTCTTCCCATATTTATTAGTGTTGTGCAACATTCTTGGGTAACAATTTTTGCATCAGCAAATACATATAAAAATATTGCATTTCCACAAATAGCACCCGCCTTATTTGCACATTCTACAAAAGAAACGTTGTTAAAACATGTGCATGGACTTGGGCTAGGCTCACTAACAGCTCCAATGATAGCATTTGGTCTAGAGGCTACAAAAGAGGTTAGTAGCATCACGAACATTACAAGTAAGTTTATGTGTAGGGTAATTTTAGTATCCATTGTAATGGAGTAATCGAGAGAAAATGAATAATGTTATGATGATAAAATATTCTTATTACCTCTTTTTATAGGCACAAAGATTAAACGGAAGTTGAGATTATAATGGGGGTTTCTATACATATAAGTTATTTAATGAATGCAATTTGTAACTTGTAACCCATTTTTTGTTTTCCTAATAACTTTGTAACTCTTTTTGTTGGGTTACATAAAAGTTAATTAATGAATGAAAAATAATAATTTACCCTTTTCCAACTCATACAAGTAGAAATTTTTCCTATTCAAATTTAATTTGTTTAATCAACGATTGTTTTAGATAGTGTTTATTTATAACAAACACATCAATATTAGTCAAATTTATGACTAGTAATGTAATACTTTAAAATATATAATAATATTATCAAATTCGCATTTTAAAATACTTTCACAACACTTATTAGTGTTAGTTATGTCAAATATATATTAAGAAAAATTATTTTTCAACCTCCCACATTAATTTCAGTTTTTGAGTTTAGGAAACACAAAGTTTTTTTTTAAAAATCAAATCAAAGTTTCATCCTCTCAAAAGTCGCATTTTTATTATTATCATTAATTTATTTTTAGGAAAACTCAAAAGTCTCACATAAATGTAAGAGTGTAAGACAATATTACTGTAACTCTGTAAGAGTGTAAGGCAACTAAAATCTTTGCAGATTCTTTAAACTCCTTGGCTAATTTTATTACTCTTGTTATCCAAACAATAACCTCAATTGACAATTTGACATGTCAAATTCAAATTATAAAAACAACGAAAAGTATGTAAAAAAAATTTCCAACAAATGAAGAGATAAATAACATTTTCAGACTGTAATAAGAATATAAGATCCAGGATTCAAAGAGGTAAAAATGTAAAATCTTTTTTCCAAGGAAACTCGAGAGATGTTACAGAACATGACCCTTGATCCACCCTTTTTGGGAAGTTACACAATCGTATTTTACAACATTAACAAATTACTGCATATCAAGCCCTCGAGCTAAATCACAACCAGCTTAATGAAAAATGTTGCATTGTTTTGAACCAATGCTAACTACATACAAGGTGACTCACATACAGTGACTATCAGATGTTAAGGCTCAATTCCTCTATAAATTGCTTGCATTCAACTCTTTCTCGTATTTTTC